ACACACACACACACACACACACACACACACACACACACACACACACAGAGGTGTCCTAGGTGGGAGGGATAAACGTTCCCCGTTTCCTGCCTCCCTCCCCCCAGGAAGATACCATCTCCATCAACCACAACTGGGTGAACGGATGCAACGTGGCCATCATGTGGAGCTTCCTCCAGGACGAACTCGCCGCCGTCCAGCGGGAGATCAAAGAATGGAAAGAGAGCATGGAAGACTGGCACCTGCAATGCCAGGTAAAAACACACCTGGGAAGCTTCCGCGTTTCACCAGGAGTGCAGGTGGATACTTTTGAGTAAAACCTGAGTGGGAGACCAGAGCTGCTATAGCCTCTCGGCGTGAGGGAAGATGTTATGATGTGTACAGAATAACCCTTGAGGAACAAGGATATGCACATGGAAACGTTTATGAGAGTAGTTATGAATAATGATCCAGCCACACAGATACAGTAAATTGAGCTAAAGTTTACTCTAAGAAATAGCACAATGGTCCTGGTCATAAACGTTTAACAGTCCAAAGAATATCCAATTACAAAGTCTTCTTACCGGTTGCCTTTGTCATTTACAGTAAACAAAAATGTCAAAGTATAAGCACAACAGAGAACCTTAGATAGCAACAGAATGTCAGAGAGACAGAACGTCAGAGAGAGCAAGCCGTGATTTCTAGCTCCCTCTTGGGGCAACTTGCAGCACAACTAGTCGGAATACTAGTCGTGATTTTGTCTTAAAGCCACAAACATATATTGTTGGTTTATATATTGCCAGCCCAACTAATTGTTGGACAGATTCCTAACAGAAGAGCCTGAAAACTGTCTCGTTTCAGCTCAGCCTTGTTCAACGTCCCTTATTTTTTAATTTTTTTTTCAATTCTAGACCTCAGCCTCTCCTCTCCTCCTTCCTCCCCAGGTGCTGATGAAGTCCTACACGGGCATCGACTACAAAGAATTCTACAACTTCCTGAAGATCATTGCGGAAAACCGCATCTTCGTGCTGGAGCACCACCACTCCGAAGATGACGCCTCCAAGCGCTCATCCAGGGCCGCCCTCTCCAGCCTGGGGATGCTCCACGCGGTGTTCGACCTCAAAAGGACCGCAAAAGTCTTGGCCTCCTTGAACGCCAACGAAGAATTCAAGAAGCTCAAGCCCGAAGCCCTCTCGCCCTGCCCGCAGGCTCTCCTGCACCGCCTGAAGGCCGCGATCGACACGGCCCTCCTCTGAAGCCCCCCCGGCGAGCGCTTTCGGTCTGCAAACGGCCTTTCCTTTGCAAGATGGCTGCATGCAAGTATTATCCTCTTTCCCCCCCCTCCTTTCAATCGCCCCTGTAAGGAATCCCTGTAAGTTTTAAAGGTAGTCCTCGACTTACGACCACGGCTGAGCCCAAAACTTCCGTTGCTAACTGAGACAAATTTTAAATGACTTCATCACCATTTTGCAACCTTTCTTGTTAAGTGAATCCCTGCAGCTGATAATTTAGTTGTCCGGTTGGATCACCCGACCCCGGGACACCGCAACCATCGTAAATATGAGACAGTTGCCAAGTGTCCGGATTTTGATCGCAATGCTGCAACGGTCGTTAAGTGTAAAAAAAAAAAAAGGTCACAAGCCACTTGAACGGTCGCTAAATGAACCTTTGTAAGTCAAGGACTACCTGTATTCCGCTAGTTGTAGATGACTTTAGGGGCTGAATTAGGCCAGGGGTCTCCAACCTTGGCAACTTTAAGACTTGTGGACTTCAACTCTGGGAGTTGGAAGTCCACGAGTCTTAAAGTCGCCAAGTTTGAAGACCCCTGAAGTAGGCAATTTAAAGAGGATAGGTTAAGGAACATTGCTGAAAAGCAACGGGTCAAATTGGAGGGATGTGGGGAGTTATAATCCGTTTGCTCCCCCGAAAACTCTCTTCCTCCAGAATAGAACTACAGTACTTACAAGTTATTTCGTTTAAATCCGGCCACGTCCAACACGACAGAACTTAATTCTGAATAAATACCTATATATCTATCTATAGAAGCTTATACTCTCAGCACCTCTGCTTCCTTTGATTCTTTGGGCCGGCCGAAAAGAGCCGTAAAGACGTGAGAAAAGGGAAAGGGGAGAGGGCGGAATTCGCGTATTTGAAGCCATTTCTTGGCCCCCCTCGGTTGGCGCGGCCCGTATGCGAGAGCGCCATTAGGAACTTTCAGCTCAGGCACAGCCTATCAACTTTTCAGGGATCGGACGAAGGTCGCGGTGGGTCTTAACTGGCTCACGCTGGTCCTCTTTTCCTACTAAGCCATGCTTGTTTCTTCCGCTTCAAGGGCTGGTTCTCGCCTTGCCTTTCTGCTTCTGAGTTCAAGACGCTTTCGGAATCAGCCAGGGTTGTCGTGTGTGTTTTTTCTTTCTTCTTCTTCTCTTGTTTTTCTTAAACTGAGATTTCCTGGAATCCCTGGCGAATTCAAGAAACCAGGGGGACAAAGAACCTAGAATCGAACCAAGGGGCCTTGGAGGTCTTCTAGTCCAACCCCCCCCCCCCCCGCGGGACAAAAGGCTCGGCCTGGGGCAACAAAGGACTTTTCCTCCAGAGGCCCGACGTTCTCCCTTCCTCCTGGATCAGGTGTGATGAGCGAACACGGAGGCTGCTCAAGCCAGGGATCGGGGGAGAGGAAAGAGGGCCACTTGGAGATTGGAGGAGGTGGTCCTTCAAACATGGGGAAAACAGGCTGAACTCTCCGTGTGTTAACCCGCAACGGTTGCTTGGAGGAAGGGTGTGTCCCTTCCTTTGAAAAAAAAAAAAAAAAAAAGACAGCACAAAATTTAATGTACATTTTAGGAATGACCCATAGTGTCCTTGGTGCCCTCTGAGCCGGCCGGTTTTCTTGCAGACCTTTCGTGACCCAACTAGGCAACATCATCAGGGCTGGAAGGAATTGCATGTCTGGAAGGAGGGGAAAAGGACTGGAATTCTTCGTGTTCTCTAAGCTTGCTTGTTTTGACCCGGGTGTTTCATGAACCAGTTGGGTAACATCATCAGTGCTGGAAGGGAGAGGGGTGTGTGGAGAGGAGAAGGAAGAGGGGGGCTGTCACGAAACATCTGCAAGAAATCCCCCAGGCTCAGAGAACACCAAAGACACACACACACACACACACGCAGACCTCCTCCTCCTCCTCCTCTCCGCAAATCCCCCTTCTTTCTAGCACTGGTGATGTTACCCAGTTGGGTCACGAAACACGTGCAAGAAAGCAAGCAAGCAAACTCAAAAGCAGCACCAAGGACTCTACTGTCCACCACCTCCACTTCTTTTTCCTCCTCTTCACCACCGCAATCCCACCCACCTCCTCCCCCGTACAGCCCTGATGACGTTACCTAGTTGGGTCATGAAACGTCTGCGAGAAAACCCACCCAGGACCCCACATAAGATACGAGCTTAGGCGCTATGGCTAAGCCTAACTAGTCCATAGGCCGTAAGGGCTCAAAAGCTACTCCTAGGATGTTGACACCCCCTTTGGGGGTGTCTGTAGGAAGCACCCCAACTCTAGAGGGGCTTCCTTCTGAACAGGGACTGCCTGGGGCCTGGTCCTCCTCTTAGCTGTAGCCCATTCAGTGTCCACTTCTACCTTTCCTGGCGGGAGCCTGCTTTAAAGTGGACCCCAACCTCCCCCCCCCCCACACCCAAGTTTTTGCCAGAGTATCTGGAGATCTTGATAAAATTGCACATTGAAAGAAAGAAAGAAAAGAGACAATAAATGAATTAAACATCCTTGTTTTCTCTGGTCTTTTCAATCGGTCGCTCTTGAGCTGCGGCTGAAAATGCCGCAGGGCGAAAAGAAGTTTGTGTGTAAACCGTGGTTACTCAACCGTGGCGACTTTAAGATGGGTGGACTTCCATCTCCTGGAATTGCCATCCTTCTGTCTTTCCTCCCTCCCCCGCGTCCTTACTTCTTCCTCTTTCTGTTCCCTTCTTCCTTTGCTCTTACACTTTTCATTCTTGCACTCAATTTCCGCTTTTCCTCCCTTCTTCCTCTTTCCCTTCCTCTTTCCTGTCTTCCTCTGTCCTTTTCTTCCTGTCTCTCCTTCCTTCATTCTTCCTTTCCTCCTTTTATTCTTTTAATTACACTCAGTTCCTCCCTTTTCCCTTTCCTCCGTCCCTTTTCCCTCCTTCTTTCCTCTCTCCATCTTTCTCCTTTCTTTCCTCCTTCCTTCCTTCTTACTCTCGTTCTTTTTCTCAGTTCCTCCGTTTTTCTTCCTTTCTCTTTTTTTCTTACACTCAGTTTCTCCCTCCCTCTTTCCCTTCCTTCTTTTCCTTTTTCCTCACGCTCAGTCGTTCCTCCCTCCCTTCTCTTTCCGTTTTTCCTCTCCTTTCGTTCCCACAGTGCAAAAATGCCCCCAGAATAAAATGTCTCTTATACAGCAGGTCTTTTTGCAGTTATCACCTTTATCTGACATATTGCATAAACTAGGATTGAGGAGACGTTAAGTAGTTTATTAATTTTTGGTTTTTTTAATATAAAAGTCAATAATTCTACAAAAGGCCAGAATTTCTTCTGGAGTGAATTAGGGGGAAAAATAGAGTTGCGTTTCTAATGGCTGGGAAATAATCTACCTGGTACTCGAGAAAAGTTGGCCGCGGAGGAAAACAAGCTCAATGCTTGTCACATTAAATTTCTCTGTTCCCCAAAACTAATCCTGTTGCAAAAATTAAAAAATTTAAAAATCCCAAAACAATTCAGCATTCAGTAAGAAATGCCAGCAATTGCAGAAAATCGCATGTCTCTTTGCAACTTCATAATTTTAAGTTTTTTTCCCCCTCCTTCTGGTGGATCACCTTGAGAGCCTTAATTCCTCCATCCGCAGGATCCTGTTCCTTTTGTTTTAATCGTTGGAAGCAGGAAGGAATGTTCAAATAGGACGGATAAATACGAGATTTCTGCCCTCGGTGGGCTGCAGCTCTCAAGAGAAACGGTGAAGCTGTTAAAAAGGACGGGACTTTGCAGCTCGATCAGCAAAAATACATCCACGAGATGTTAGCAGAAAGTAGAAGTGCAAAGAACACACAGCAAAAAACACTACGCGGGTAGTCCTCGACTTACAACAGTTCATTCAGTGACCAAAGTTAACAACAGCACTGAAAAAAGTGACATGACTTTTTCACAGTTGTGACAGTTGCAGAGTCCTGGGGTCACATGATCCCTTTTGCGACCTTCTGATTAGAAAAGTCAATTGGGGAGGGCACCAGATTCACTTAACAACTGGGTGACTAACAACTGTGGCAAGAAAGCTTGTAAAACGGGACAGAACTCACTTGACAAATTTTTGACCTAACAAAATAAAATTTTGGGCTCAGTTGTGGTCATAAGTCAAGGGCTACCTGTATTCTATTGAATCTCCTTACAAAAGTCCTCACTTAATGACTGTTCTGATGGAACTTGCTGAGGTCATCCGACTGAATTGCAAGTGTTTGGCAACTGGTTTATTTTTAGGAACAGTTCCATGGTCAGGCGACATAATTGATTTTCTTAAAATTATATTTATTAAATTTACTAAACGTAATTATTTTCCAAATTTATTTATTGAATTTACTAATTTATTAAGTTAGTTTATATACTAAGCTTATTTATTTATTTACTTATTACATTTATCTACCAAGTTTATTTACTGAACATATTTACTTCTATTTATTCATTGAATGTTTATTTCAGTGAATAAGGGCAGCTGTTAATACCATGGTCGTTAAGTGAATCCGGCTTCCCCATCAACTGTGCTTGTCAAAAAGTCGCAAAAGGGGATTTCCCCCCCCCCCCCCCCCCCCCCCCCCCCCCCCCCCTGACGAAGCAAGGGGACACGGCGAAGGTTTTTCTGTGATGCTCTGAGGGGGGGGGTGGTGGGGGGGTGTGCAT